AGAAAACTGTGCTGCAGTTTCCCTGCAGAACCATGATGTGATATCCACAATGAAATTTTTATTTGAAAATACTGAATTAATCCATGGACTTTTAGACTGCTTTCACAGTTCAGATGGCAATTCCTTTATTAAATCCCAACATCATGTAGCAATACACAGCTCTTCCAGTCATGTCACTACAAAATTCTTGTTGTTTACTGCTTATTATCTAATTATATCCATACACGGCAGTTACATTTGCAAGCATACCATTAGATGACTTGTTGCCCTAAGGAGTCAGAGACCTATCCCGGCTGAGTCCAAAGAATGTTCAGAAAAGGCTGTCAACAATTCCTATGTCATCTACCTTGATTTTTTTAAATACTGGTGGCTCCATACAGCAGTTATCACCCTTTTAAATAATTTAAGTAGAATAAATTCAGCTCTCATGCCTGTTGTCTATGAAACACAATCCACCAACTACCACCCTGTAGGGAACTGGGCATGCACTAGGATGATGGCTGATACGAGTAGGATAAAAGATGTCTAGCAAGTTCTGTGGTGAGTTTTGGGTTAGGGTAACCTTAACCCTAAGGTTTACCCTAAGCCTAACTCCTGCTTTAGTGATATTCTCATATCACCAGTTGAGGAATAACCATAAGTCATTCTGTCTCTTCCAGTATCTGTGAGTCTTGATGGCTCTTAAGATGCTTAGGACTCGTGCATTTGTCCCCAGTGTGCCCCAGAGTCCTCTGTTTGCTCTCCACAGCACCCCTGAGCCGTTTGGGCTTTGGTCATCTTCCAGCCCCTCTGTTAGCTGTTTCAGCCCAGCTCCTCAATCCACACTTCTCTGAAACCTAAGCCCAACTCCTAACCTTTGTTTGAGTTGAATAATTATGGAATGAGTTTCAGATGGAAAGTGGTAATGACTGAATGACTGAATGACTGAATGACTGAATGACCACCAGGAAAAATTGCACTGCCTGAAAGTGCTGCCAAAGGTCACCCCTTAGGGGGTTTTGTTGTGGCTCATTTAAGTGTGTAATTAGGAGGCCTGACTCCCAGGTACACAGAAGTTCTTTCACATACACTCACAGCTGTATCAACCACACAAACTTCTCTAATTTGGCTTATAAATCCTACGTTGTTGAGTTTTGCTTAATGGATGAATGGTGTGTTCTTTTCAGGTTGCCTTCTGCTTCCAGGAATTGGAGATATAAGAACATGAAATTATTCCAAGGCTCAAAGCAAAATGATAAAAAGGCTTCATACATACAGGATATTTGAAAGTGTTAGTGCATTCAATTTACATCCACTGCACAGCTGCTCTGTCCCACCAGGCTAGTGTATGAGAGAAAATTTTTAGGATAAATGATCATTCATGTCACATCTTGCTGTATATTCAGTTTAGATTCAAATTAACAGAGTATCTACATTGTCCATAATGTCTTTATTGTCGATAGTAATTTCTAGCCCCAAGATCTATCTGGGTTCCATGCTTTGTTATTGTAGCCCTCTTGTTCAACATCCGCATAGTTGAACAGGCTCAGAAATAGCCATTCCATCTCTTGGCAGCATCTGACAGAAACACTCCAGCGGCCAGCAGACACGGGGTCCCCCAGTGCTATCCAACCTTCCTGTTACTCCTGAAGTCACCAAGGATAAGCTGTGTTTGTGACCTATTTCCCTCCAGACCAGTTTCCACTCTGCTGCCCCGGCCATGTAGATGGTGACTGATGGTGCCCCAGGGACCAGCCGTGAAGGAGGTGCTGTGAGTGTTCCAGAGAGGTGTCACAAACCACCCGCCCTGGGGAGACCGAGGCCAGGGCATCCCTGGTTTTGGATTGTGTTTGCACAGCAGACTGAGTGGGCTATGCACCCAGATGTCTGTTCAATCTTGAAATGTTAACATATTCCTACAGTGACCCTTCTCATTACTCATATGCATATCTAATTTTATGGGAGAGGAACAGGTTTTTTTCTTTTTCAGAGGTAGCTTGAAATTTTTTGGTCCCATAGCTGTTAACATAACGTGGATTACAGCTTAAGCCAACAAAAAGCAATTAGAAGTTGTTTTTATTTCACTCTGCTTCTTTCCTAACTTTACTCTGACCCTCCCTTTGGGGTCATTTACTTCTCACGTTAGTTAGTAGTTTCTCCCGTTTGGGGATTTGGTAGTTTTAGTGAAACATCTAAAGGAGAAGACCAAGCAAACTGTCTCCTTTTTTGGCTAAGAATGTTTGTTCTGCTAATATCTGAATATAAAAACAACCTAATACTTGGGGCAAAAGCAGGGGACATCCTCAGGGGAGTTTTCAAAGAGTTTATCTGCTCCTAGGCCTGTTTGAACTTTTCAGGAGAGACTGCTTAAATCTCAAGAACAGATTTTTGCTTCGCATGGCTGGGCTTTTTTTGGTAGGGTAATCTCGAGACATAGTTTTTACCAAGAGATGTATGAGACTAACACAATGATGTGGCTATTTTATTTGCTTTGTGGTTTCTTTCTGTTTATTTTGTTCATTCTCTGAATTAGTTTTCTTTCCTTCCTGCCTTCTCTCTTTTTCTTTCTTTCATTTCTTTCTCTCCTTCCTTCTCTTTCTTTTTCTCATCTTCTATCCTTTTTCTCACCTGCTATCTCCTTCCTTCCTTCCTTCCTTCCTTCCTCTTTCTTTCTCTCTTTCTCTCTCACTCCCCCTGCCTTCCTGTCTTCCTCCCTTTTTTCTTTCTCCTTTCTTGCTTTCTTTCTTTCCCTCTGTCTTCCTTGCTTTCTTGTTTTCTCATATTAAAAAATAATCAACTTGTATTATTTTAGAGGGCATTTGGTGGCACAGTTCTAAATTGAGATTTTTCCTTCAGATCTTATAATCCCCAAATAGATTTCCTACTCACTTTGCATTTGTTTGTTTAAACTATGTCTCTTGGTATTGTGGCAGCTCAGGACAACTTTCCATATACTGCCATTCAGTTTCCACAACAGTTAACTCCCAGGCTTTCAGCTAGATGACTTGCCAGTTACTGAGTGATGCCATTTGAAGCATAACCTCAGTTGATGAGCCTGGGGCCCTTTGCTTGGCATGCCTCAGACGTCTGGAGCAATGGGAGAACTGCACGCTTCTTTTTGAGGGAGTCATGGTCAGAGTCACTATTTGCTCCCCCTCTTACCAAAGGCAAATGGTTGGAGAAGGTAACCTGCAGCTTCTTCAGGGAAGTTCTTCAACAGCTTCAGGGAAATCTGAACAGACCATGGATGTATCTGGAAGGAGAGGATTCTTTCCCTTCTCATCTCTGAATGCTCTCAAGTGGGAATGACCTTAGTAAGTCCAGAACTTTTTCCTCTTTGTTTTACTCTCCAGAGAGAAATGCTCCATTTATACAGACATGAATCAAGAACTTTCTTGAGTCTTTTCATACTTTGAGTCTTTCTTTTGTATACTTGAGTCTCTTCATTCTTTTTTTCCTTTCCTATTTAACTCTTGAAGTAGATAGCTTCTCCTCTCCTTTTTTCCTATGAAGCTTTGCTACACTTCCAGCAGCCCGGTGTCTGAGCACCTTCCCCCTGCAGCTTTTCAGGGAGGCTTGCCACTCACTCTGGTCACTGCCTTTACTTGGTGCATTCACACTCACTTCTCTACCACATTTCCAGCTACGTTGTTTGTTCCCTCTGACTGTTATCTCGGATGCATGTGCTGGTTTAAATGCCAGCAAGCCCTGAGGTTTCCCAGGTTGTTTAATTAATGCTTTTTTTTAGACTGTGATATCCTGTCTTAAGAAGGTGTTTTGAACCCAGGAAACCCAGGGCTCATGAAACAAAATTTATGAGGGGGGTGAATGTCTCTGTTTAAATAATCATTGCAAAAGTTGCTCCAGTAAAACTTATTTACTTTGCATTTGATGTTCTTAACTGCTTGAAGATATGGGTAAATTCTCGTTGTGGCATGTTAATGTACAAGGCTGCTTATACGGATGAACCAAGGCAGCCAGGCAAGCTTATTGCCAACAGTTAGTCCCTGTTATAACATCAGTAATAAGCAAGGGCTCTGAATATGACTCTGTATCACCACAGGGGCAGCTAGAAAGTTAACAGGGAAAGGGGGTATGAAATATTCATGTGAAAATCAGATTGAGCCAATGCTCCTAATTCTCTATTGTGAGATAAAAGGAGACATACAAAAGGAGAACTTGTTCCATAACTCGGCAAAACAACAGTTAAAGCCATTGTAACAATGGCAGGGCACCTGAACAACTACTTGTGACGGGTTGGATTTGTAATGTTTGATGGATATTTGCAGTTGTGCGAAGTGTTCTGAGTGTGTAAACATGGTTAGATTATGTTATGCTCTGATAAATGACAAAGCTGGTAAAAAATGACTGTCTCAAAACGGTGGTATTTCGCCTTCCCTCCACCTCTGTACTTGGAGGGAACACAGTGCTGAATAACTACATATTCTTTTTACTTAGTTAATTAAAGCCTTTCCTGGAAAAGTGATGTTGGTATCAATCTTTTTTATTTTAAATACAAGAAAATTACGAGCTAGGTTCACTTGAAATACATGTATAACTTAAAATTCATGTCATTAGCTTCACCAGGAGGTGAATAGACCTGTCTGGGAACAATCCAGGGCTCTAACAAGAACCACCAATGCTATCTGTGACCACTATATCATGAAACTTTGCAATGTGATGGGGACAAGCAGGTCCAAGAAGCTCTTTGAGAGTATCTCTTTAGCTGTGGTTTAGCAGTCATATGCTGAACCTCATAGAGATGAAAGCTCAAGATTTCTGCTAGCATGATGGGCTTAGCAGTCTGTAACATGGCCAGGAGTAGTCCCAACTGGGTCTCAGCTAGTATCAGTGTATCAAAACTGGTTTTCCTTTTGCTAATGCTTTTGGATCTGACCAGAAATTGAGGGTTCACAAAGCAGAAAGAGAGGGGGGAGGGGAGGAGCACACAATGCTCACAGTATATTTTTATACATATTTACAGAAGGAAGAGCTGTGCTATCCAAACTTGAGCTTTCCCCATGGATGACTCAAACATAACGTTTCATCCCAGCGAAGGCACAGAGAACATCTCAATGCACAGAAACATTTCTACACAGGAAAGAGTCTGGGAGATATTGACCCCACTTTGGGTAATTATGATCATCTCCTTCCTGGGTTTTTGTGAAAATGGAATTGTCCTCTGGTGCCTCTGCTTCCAGATCAAAAGAAACCCATTCACTGCGTACATCACACACCTGTCCATTGCTGACATCTCCTTACTGCTTTGTACGTTTATTCTGTCAATTGAGTACATTGCTGGTTTTGGATTCGCATATGGTTTTTACTATTATATAACCACCACATTATCTATTGTCTTCCTTCTTGGATATAATACTGGTCTCTATCTCCTGACAGCCATCAGTATTGAGAGGTGTCTGTCTATTGTTTACCCCATCTGGTACCGATGCCACCGGTCACAGCACCAATCGGCAATTGTGTGCGCAATTCTGTGGACTCTCTCTTTTCTGATGACAGTAGCTGAATACTTCACGTGCAAAGATGATTCAACGAAGGAACAGTTCGACGATGGCAACCATTGTCAAGCACTGCTCATCTTCACATGGATCCTGACGTTCATGATCTTCATTCCTCTAATGATTCTGTCCAGCCTAATTTTGGTTATCAGGATTCATCGTAACTCCCTGAGACCTCATTCGTCAAAGCTCTACATCATCATTGTGGCCACAGTCATTGTCTTCCTCATCTTTGCCATGCCTATGAGGCTGCTGTATCTTCTGAATTACCACCACTGGTCGTCTTTGCTCAGCCAGCAGAACCATGTCACCATTGCTCTCTCCACCATTAACAGTAGCATCAACCCCCTTGTTTACTTCTTTGTAGGAAGCAGCAAGAAGAAGAGGTTCAAGGAGAGCCTCAAAGTGGTTCTTAGTAGAGCACTTGCTGATGGGTTGCGGCCGAGAAGCCAGGAAGTTGGCATGAGTTTGGATATAGCTGAAACCATTTTCTAAAGCTTAGGGGGGAAACTCTAGGGGCAAATAATTGGACTTGGAAGGTTTAATAAACCACTACAAAACTAAAAGTATTTTTCTTCCATAGAATGTAAAAAGCAGTGGTGAAATGGTACTGTTATCTTTGGTGGCTGAGCAATGGAAAAATATTGACTAGAATAAAGATAACTTTTATTTGTATTTTCTTAATTATTCAAACACATGCTACATCCTGATGTGACTATGTCAGTCAAAGATACCACAGTGGAAAAGAGACAGGCCAACAGAGAATATAAAAAAAGGACACAGAAGTATGTTATAAATAGTGTGACATTTATACAAGCACTGAGCACCCATAAATGCTATTGAAGTCATCAGGGCCTGTGTGTATTCACATTTTTGAAAGTCAAACCCACTAAAGGCAGGATTCACGTTACATACTAGGATCTAGTTTCAACTGTTTCCAGCTTGTTTAAGTGCGCAAAAGAGCCGCTCCCTGGGGGAAACAGAGGAAGAAATCCACATATGGGAGTAAGTCCCCATACATACCCACAAGCATACAGTGCTGTAGCTTTGGTCTAGCAAATCCCTCTGTGGTTAAGGGGCTACGTCAGAGTCTGTTTTCCAAGTACATGTTGCGTAATTTCCAGTGACATCAACATTTCTCTGGGTCCTTGGATAAGTCGGTACCGGACACACAGGAGTACCTGGCAACATAGGGATGTTGTTAATTCACAGAGGGATTTTGTCGTAATTATGAAGGGTGGGGCTGGCTTGTCCCCAAAATGTCAGTGTTCCTGTAGGTTTAGTTATTCACGGAGTCTATGAGAAAGTCAGTCCCAACACTTGCTGTCCCAGCCACTTAGTATTTAGCTGTTCTCTGGAGAATATATATTCCCCATGTGGTCTTTCTGTTTTATAGCAGTTTTGGAGAAAATGGAAAAAAAAGAAAGGTGTCTCATGCAATGCACGACTGGGGCGACACCCCAGCTATCAGTTTTGGAGAAAATGGAAAAAAAAAGAAAGGTGTCTCACGCAATGCACGACTGGGGCGACACCCCAGCTGCACCGTTCCAGCTGGCTCCCTCCTTCTGCTGTGTGCCAGGGTACCGGAACGTGGAGTTTAATTCCCAGGGCCAACTATAGCCAAGCTGCAGGGCACAGAGGAAGACAACAGCAAGGAGGGGATGGGGCTAGGACAGGTTTATCCCATGACACAGAATACAGGGGGTCCGTGCAGTTAAGAGAGCTATGGCACTTTTTTAAAGAGGTGTCTGGGAGATGCATTTGCTTCTGGCCCCCCCAGAGCTCCACATGCAGCAGGAACTGAGACCTCCTGCCACAGCAGCATCTTCGCCTTCTCGCCAAGTTTCCATTGGCACGCTTAATAGCTAACTTGGGAAAGAAAAATACAACCTATCCCTCCTTTGTTGAAAGATTGCCAGTCCTGGAATAAGGAAGATGGTAGGTTAAGACCAAGGATGGGACGGGAATTCACGTAGAGAAGAGATCTCAGAAGGATAAATATTCCTTGTATGCATGTGCCCCTTTCTCCTTACATTAAAGTGTTGCAGTGTGTCACTGCAGAGAACACCCAGGAAAGGAGGAGGTTACCCTTACACCTTCCTAATTCCTTCACTCCATCGAAATGTTTGTCTATGACAGCCTCTCTATTTGTCCCAGTTTTTGTCTTTGAAACTCTAGTCCCAGGCTAGTCACCTGTATTCATTCAGGGGGTAGACGAGTGCAGTCTGCTCCTCCCTTAGGGCAGTGATCTCCTGTGCTGCTGGAGCGACCGATCAGCAGAGCAGCTCGCCATGGCCAATGGAGAGTGCAGGATACGGCACGCAGGCCTGTGGGCACCCTGGGAGGGGGTCGGGGCAATCTGTGTGATGACCACACACATGTGGCATGAGCGTGCATGTACCTGCTGGGGGCTGGGTGACTCTCAGGGAATTTGTCAGCACTGGTAAATGCCATAAACTTGAACACTAGGGGAGATCTAGCCCAGAAAAAACACAGACTTTTCTCTAAAGCCATTCCCTACCCTTACCTCAAGACCCTTTAGAATAATCACATGGAAACCAAAGAGAGCGGCAAAGTTGCAGGAAGCACGTTTAAAACATGCTTCCACTGTAACCACGCATGTAACCCAGTCCTCTCAAAGTGATTCAGGTGACACAAGGCATTTATTGACAGTCCTTAAACATACCCAGATTATGATGACAGGTTTGGGTTAAGGATCACTGTGCACGCAGCTAGGGCAGCAGATCTGAAGAGGCAATAATACACAGCTGGGCAATGTGGGTGCTGGTGAGCTGAACGGGTGCTCCAGGACTTCTAGCTTCTTCCCCCTTTCACCTGTGTATGTCCATGCCCTCAAACGTTTCAGCATTTGGGCAACTGTCCATAGATCAGTTTACAGAGCAGACAAAATTAGCATTCATCATGAGATGAACATGCAGGAGGATGAATAATAAGAGTGAACAGGTAGGAGCTGAAAAATGATTAATGTTTCCCAGTCCACAGATAAAAATATCTTGGGGATGTTCTTTTTTCTTTATCACAGCGCCTAACGACTCTTCTCTGTGTGCAGACTGGCCACAGTAAAAGAGGAACTGACAAGCACATTATTGCATGATTAAAAAAAACCAACAAACCAACAGGGAAAATGTGACACTTCGTTTGTTACACAAGAATGTGATTGCCCACCAGCCTGCATTTTTAAATATGCTTTGCATCTGTGGGAGAGGGTGGAATAACCCTGTGCAGGTCAGGTGGTGTTAACGAGCACTTTGCAGTGCTGCAGAACAGGAAAGATTGTCTTGTGGGTAAAGTACCAACCACAGAGTTTAGAGATGTGGGTTCTGTTTTAATGCAGTCTTGGCATCTAATTTTTCTGTCCGTGCCTATAAGATGAGGATTATATTATTTTGTTTCCAGTGTTGTGCCTTCATATGTACACTATAAACCCTTCAGAACAGCAGCTATCTCTTGGTTATCTCTTGTAATGTCCAGGGCAATAGGGACTCAATTTTGCTGTGAAGTCAAGGCAAGAAATTGTTCATGGAAGAAATGCCCAGTACAGTGCTTAGTTTATTAAACATCCCTTTACTACACTTCTACTTGATACTAATAAATGTTGTGTGATATAAAAGCGCAGTCAGAAATGCAAAGAGGGAAGTCACCTCCCTCGACACTGCACAGAGTTTTTTTGCTGTAGTAGCTCCCCCCCGGGTGCAGATGACACGGGGCAGGTTGCTGTACAGGCTCGGGTCCAAAATGATGCAATGAGTTTATGCAGCAACTTTCATCTCTAATTCACGGACTTTGTGAATGATCCTTGTGACAGCAATGGCAGAGGGGTGAGGAAGAACATACTGCCCAGTTTACTTCTAGCCTGGAGCTGAGCCTGGGAAATCCTCTAAGTGAAGCTGAAATACTCCCCAGTTGCACTGGCTGCTGATGTAGGACAAAACCTCCCCTTGCTCCCTTTCTTTCCAGCATGTGAATAACCTACAAGTGCACAGGACTTCCTGATATAATGCCTCTGGTCACTTTCTGAGGAGGACAGTTCAACTGCAAGGTCCTCCAAAAAGCCCAGACAGATCTCCAGTAAGGTCCTAGGTGATTCTGTCCCCTGGAAGTCATACCTGGCCCTGTATGCACCTGGGAGAGACTCCTTCCAAAGTCCTCCCGCTCTGCCAGTCTCAGAGGATGATCCACACAGGGGCTTTGTGAGCAGATGTTCAGTACAGAGGATCCCATATGACTTCCCTCTATCATGGATGTCTGATGAGACAGTGCCCAGAGACCGTCTGAATCCTTAGCTGGCTTTCAGCGCTCTGCATTCTGCAATTCTTTCCCTGCACCACTGTCCTGACCTGCACATGCCCCCAGCCCTTAGCCTGCTATGCCACACTGGGACTGTGCACTCCAGTTCTGGTGGTGGGGTGTGCACCCCATCAGCACCCCCCGGGTGTCCGGGTGACACCCAGCTGAGTGCCCAGCTCTCCGCCCCCAGCACTTCCCAGTCTCCAGCAGAAAGGACAGCCGCTGCCTGTGGCTTCCAGTTACTCCCTTAGTTTAAGCTGTGGCTTTCATGGCCTGCCGATATTGCCGTGATGATAGTCAGCAGCAGCTATTCTCAGATGGTACCTATGCCAAGGGAAAGCAGAAAATCGGTGTGAGCTTGTGCGTAGTGGCCATAATATGCTGCCTGCCATGTGTGTACTTTGTGGCTTCTCTTCCTGACTCCATGTACAAATCATTTATTAAAATCTACCACTTGGAGTTTCCTTCCTATAAACAGCAAGGCCAGTTTGCTTTCCATTTGGCTGCTTACGTGATGTCCACATGGAATTATTTTGCTTTTCCAGTTGAGTCCTACAAGCATAAAAGACGAAGCACCAGGATCCATGTTCAGAGAAAAGTACTGCAGGTGCAAAACTCCGAATTCAGAGAAGAAATACTGAGATGAGGTAGTCTGCATGGTTCTAATACTTCTGCCTTGCATATAACCAGTTAATTTTTAATTATATGTTTACAACCTATTTTTTTCCAAACTGGAATCTTGCCTCATTATATACGCAGACCGGACCTGCTGCTGGTATAGTGAACATTTCTAGAATCCTTGCTTCAGCTGTTATAGAAATATGGATGGTAGGAGAGGAGAGGGAGTGGACGTGGCGGCAGTCTCCATCTGTCCCATCTCCAGCAGCGGTCACAAGCAGACGCCTACAGAGGGGAACAAACAGGACCAACACACATCACACTTCTTTCTCATCCTCTCTAAGCATTCAACAGTTTTCAGCTCAGAAACTTCCTGGTCTAGAAATTGTTGTATTTAGTAAGTTTCAATGGAGGCCATACAAGTTTTTAATGTCTTCAGCACTCTGTTTCACAGATGAATTAAATATTTCCTGAAAAATATCCTTGCTTAGGTTGTTTTGAGCTGTCCTGTTCCAGATCTTTTAATGCCCTAACTCTTGTATTGGAAAAAAGCTGTGAACAATCTGCTC